CTGCTCTGGGGATTTTGAAACCCTGCTATGGTTTTCATACAAGTCCAGGCAGACCCAAAATTTTTTGCAGCAAATTTGCTTTCAAGAAGGTTTTTGTAGCTTTGTTTTGCTTTCAAGATCTCGATTTTCATTTCCTTGGTGGCTGTCTGAAAATCGGTAACAGCCCCCTCTTTAAAGGCCTGTCTCTTGTGATCTTTGTCTTGAAAAGTTCTATATAAACAAAACTTTATTTACTTACTTACTTAAAAGTGTTTTGAATTTAGCCTTAGTTGGGGCCATATCAATCACTCTGTAGAAGATAATACCCTGAAGCACAAGTTTGTACAGTGTCTCTTTTTAAAAGGCTTCCTTCAGTCACACAGTTCATACAGTAATTAGTGTTATCAGATTAAAAGAAAAAAAGTCATCTGGACAGGAAGTTGAGACAATAATGTAACTGCAATGCTTCAGTTATATCATTGTATTACTTACACAACATGTGTGATGGCCTTAGCCGTGTAAGTCCATCCCCTCAGCTGTCTGATTCTATCGATGTCAGTCTCCACTGATTCAGATGAGTAAAACTTCTTAAAATTAAAGTGAACCTGCGGATCAGTAGAGAACTGGGAAACAGAAAACTGAAAAACACAGAGAAACATACTTAATAAAAGTAAAAATGAAGTTGATTTATGTCTTTGCTATGATTTTACAGAGGGACAACAGCTGCTCACCTGTGTGTCACTTGATAGAAAGGATTTGATTAGATCTTTCACAAAATTCTTCATAGTTTGAAAATCAGTAGAACGTACGCTGCCTGAACCATCCAACAGAAAGGCAATGTCTGCTTGTGTTCTACACTCTGTCAGAGAAATGGATTCAAATTTAATTTAATTTTGAAGGGTTCATTTTAATATTTTTTCACACTCATATCATGCAAGCAAAAGGATTTTGCATCTTGGTGTGTGTGTGTGTGTGGTGGTGTTTGAAACATTATTTCAAACACCATCTACTGTTACCTGGAATAGAAGAAGGAATGAAAGGTCCAAAATTATTATGGTCCATCTGAAAGCACACACCATTATACATGGTGATACTTTTGCAGTCCTTTGGAATGGTTGGCCCACACACCTGAGAGGAGACAAAGCCACGTTATCAAAATACAGCAGGCTGAATATTTCCATGTCACTTAAACTATGCTTAATTCAATATAAAATAAAACAATTTAGGGGGAAAAAAAAGAATTTCCTACACAACTCCTGATTCTGCTGACTTGCTGAAGTAATTAGTATATTTGTAGTCTTTTTAAAGAAGATAGACTGATAAAGGGAGATATATACATATATAGAGAGAGAGGACAGAGGATTTTGATCCTCACATATTTTAACAAAGCAATGGTAATGTCTGCAGTTCAGTAACTCACCACAGTGTTTTTTGCTCTGGAATCACTTTTCATTGTCAAACCAAGCGACATGTTGACTGCAAAATACGGTGCTGTATTGAAAACATTGCATATTTGTTAAAACAGTCATAAAATACACTTTGTGAAAAGAAAACAACATTCAAATTAAAAACTGCAACGTGCCACAATTCATGATTTGGCTAAGCCATAAGAAGCGGTATTACATCTAGACTGGAAACTGAGATAAACAATAGTTTTTGGTACATTTTCATTAGGATGGAATGCAAAACAGAATTCAATTTCACTGTTACTTCATTTAAAAATTTAAGAAATTACAAAATTTAAATCGTATTAATTTTAAACGTATCTGTTCTTGTTTTCATCATCGGTTAAAAAGTTAATTGAATGTTACATACTAAGATGTCCACTTTGGAAATCTACTGTAACTTTGATTTGATTTAAAGAAATGTATGTGACAGGATCTGTGGAGAATTTCTTACTATCAGAGTTTTAGCACATTCAGAAATGAATGGTTACCTACCTTGAAATCGTATATTTTGGCAGTTTTGGGGAGATGTGGTGCACTTGTATATTTTCCCTCTTTCATTTTGTGAATACTGTTCAAGTGGAGCACTGACAAGCAAACTAAGAAAATAAATCCAGTCAATGATATAAGTCTAGAGAGCAAACTGTGGTTAGATAAACTCTTTATGTCCATATGGCATAAAACATGATAAATAAATAAAAAATAAATAGCAGTAATCGTAAACATTCAGCTGCAAATCTATGTTTAACAAAACAATCCATGTCCTGACTTACTCTGATTGTCTTTGCACCACCTGGTAGCCAAAACCAGCAGCAGAGTTACTCAGGGCCCTCCAAGCCACGGGATCAATATTGAAACAAAGTGCAGCATTTAACACTGAGAATTAAAAAGAAAGATGAGCAACAGTAATTTTATTTCAAGCCACTGTGAAGGATGATAATGTGGTTATAGACCTCTAATTATATTCACTTTTAGGAAACTGTAAATAGTATATGAGTTGCGTTCATTCGTTTTTTTTAACCATGATTTATTTTATTACCACTAGAGAGCACCAAAGCCAGACATTTTAAAGTTCTAAACATTGTGGCTCAGAGCAAATTTTCCCTTGAAATTCAATCTTAAATTTCACTGTAGAAACTTATATATTAATTCTGATATAATCATTCTATAGTGAAAATCTACAACCATACACAACAGAGTCTTTGTTGAAAACAAAGCTACACCTAAACTGTCCTGTTGGGGTTTTTTATTACAAAAACAAAACCTTCCTTTTTTGGGCATGCTAAGAACAGGCATGTGACATCATATAGCTCTTGCCTGTTCAACAATGACAGATTCATGTCTTAGTTTCCAGAAATATAAAGTCATCTAATAATTTACCTCATCAGCATGAACTTGTTTTTCGTGGCTTTGAAAGGAATAAAGAAAAAAATTGTCATATACACTACCAGACAAAAGCTTGGACACACCTTCTCACTCAGTGGTTTGTGTTTAATTTTAGTCCTTTCTGCACTGTGGATACATACCGAAGACATCCAATTCATGAAGTAAGACATATGGAATTATGTTGCAAATAAAAAATTGATAAATAACTCTGTCTTTTAGATTCCTGAAAGTAGCTACACTTTGCTTTGTTGACAGCGCTGCAAAGTCTTGTTGTGTTGTGCAAAAGTTAGGTTGGTACACAGCTGGCAGCAATATTTGAAAACTGTTAGAATTCATATTATGGAAAGAACCAATCAACTAATTAAGAGAAACGACAGTCCATCATTACTTTAAGAACTGAAGGTCAGTCAGTCCGACAATTTCTACAACTTTGAACGTGTCCCCAAGTGCAGTCACAAAAACCATCTGCTGCTGCTGAGGATACATTCATCTGAGTCACCAGCCTCAGAAATTGCAAGTTAACAGCACCTAAAGCTCAGATAAATGTCACACAGTTCTAGTAATAGACACATCTCTACATCAACTGATCAGAGAAGACTGAGTGAATCAGGCCTTTATGGTCAAATAGCTGCTAAGAAACCACGACTAAGGAAAAGAAACAAGAAGAAGAGATTTGTTTGGGCCAAGAAACACAAGGAATGAACATTAGACCAGTGGAAATATGTGCTTTGGTCTGATGAGTCCAAATTTGAGATCTTTGGTTCCACCTTCCCTATCTTTGGTGAGTGCAAACGGATTGTCTCTACATAGATGACTTCCACCATGAAGCATGGAGGAAGAGGTGTGATAGTGTGGAGGTGCTTTACTGGTGACACTGCTGGGGATTTATTTAAAATTGAAGGCACACTGAAACAGCATCCTGCAGCGACATCCCATTCCAGGTTTGTGTTTAGTTGGGCCATCATTTATTTTTCAACAGAACAATGACTTCAAACATAGTCCCCTGACCTAAACCCAATGGAGATAGTTTGGAATGAGATGGACTGCAGAATGAAGTGAAGGGTCAACAAGTGCTCAGCATCTCTTGGAACTCTTTCAAGACTGGTATAAAACCATTTCAGGTGACGACCTCATGAAGCTTATCAAGAGAATGCCAAGAGTGTGCAAAGCAGTAATCAAAGAAAAGGGTGGTTGTTTTGAACAATCTAAACTATAAAACATGTTTTGAGTTATTTCAGACTTTTTTGTTGACCAAATAATTCCTTATGTGTTCATTCATAGTTTTGATTCCTTCATTGAGAATCTACAATGTAAACAGTCATGAATATAAAGAAAAACTATTAAATGAGAAGGTGTGTATTTCCCTCAGCCTTTGTTCTTTTTCCTTTTTTATTAACATTTCTTCTTAGTTTTTACACAGACATGAATTTATATTCTGTCATAAAAAAGAGCAATAGCCAAACGTAACAAAGTTGGATGCAGTGACAAAATAACATAAATCAAAGTATGATGTGACATTCATGTAAAAAGCTTCCAATTCTGAGTAGCACTGAACAAAACAATCAGATATGTCAAATGAACACATGAAATCATGTCCTGTTCTACTGTTTGTTTTTGATAAATAATGAAGAAGTTACTTTCCTCAGTATGACTATTTAAGAAATACTTTTTTCACTCAGTAAACTTCGACAACAGAAAAACAAAACATTTTAGCATTGAAGGTATTTTTATACCCATTCACACAC